TTACAAAACTTTGGCAATAAGAGCTATAACAAGATGAACCAAACAAGGCCATGCTGCTCGATATAAAACTGACTAAGTTTCAGCTGAGAACTAGCACGTTTACCGGGGGCATTTACCCGTGATGATACAAATCCACGTGGCTTGTTATGATTCTAAACAGGCCATAAAGAGGGTAATCGCATGTAAATGAAGTCAGCGAAGAGATTCAAAATCAAATTACTTTTAATTAGAAAACATAGAGCACAAGGTTGTTCAACAAAGATATTTTCACTCAACCTTAACACATATAATATATACATTATATTTCAAACTCGACTCTGAGCAAACCTGTGCTTGGTGTTTTCTTATTTATTACTATAAAGTAGTCATATTTATCAAGTGATGTTATCGCAATAAAACTGGCTACTACGAATACAAGTGGTGTTGGTGCGGTATACAGTTATTAATTGCTGTACGTAAATCAAATAAAACTTCTGTCAAAACGAAGGATGCCTCAGATTCTAATTGGTCAATATCGGGGGGGGGGGGGGGGGGAGGTATTAGAAATAATACCTGACTGCATCCTCCTAACCCCCGACCCCAATAAAAAAAGAAATAACAATTATTTACTGGTATTTTATATAATTACCCCAGGTATTTCAAAGTTACTTCAGAACGCTTTAACCATTCAAGTTCAAGTTCTTTATTTCTTTGCGTCATACGACACATCATATTACATATATTAATAACTAAACATATATACAATATTATAAAATATAACAATATGAGAGTGAGCATAATCAATAAATAGCAAGTAAACTATGTAGGACGTGTTTTCTAACAGGCAACTGTAATTATAAAACACTAAAAACTTACAGATGGAAGCTTGATATATAAATATTTTCCAAGGTTAAAAAAGTTTTTTTACATTTTCTACACTTAGAAATTGAATTAATTTCCAAACACTGGATTTCTTATAATAATACTTTTTTTTCAAATACTTAGATCTAAGGTCATGATAAAAAGGACATTGTAAAATAAAATGAAATTCGTCTTCGATAACATTCAATGAACACATTTTAAATACATAATCTGTTTTTTTCTAATTTCATTAACATATCTACCAGTTTCAACATTTAGATTATGGGCATATAGTCTAATTCTAGCGATTTGTATTTTGTACATATAATTAATAGGTTTACGCAAGTAATATTGTATATCAAAATTATCAACCAAATGTTGGTATACACCCAAAGTCAATAAATTGGTGCAATTCAAGATATTTTTTCTCTAAAAATCGACTTTTGATTATCCATCTGCTAATAACATTTTCGGATAGATCAACATATCAAGTTTGTATTCCCAAAGATTTTTCAAGTTAAGTTCATTGGTTAAGAAATTACGTCAATTTGAAATAAAGGTGTATTGTTGATCATTTTTTGCTGAGAAACAAGCGTTACACTGTACGTATCATATTATAGTTTTCCTTTAAGATTTTAGGATGAAATAATATAGATTGTAATAAATCCTCAATGTCAAAAGCAAATCAGTCTACTTACTTTCGTGATAAGACAAAAAAAGGTCAACTGTCATAATGTATTTTATGAATTGATGCAGTCAAATTGTCGTATTATATTTTTTTTCTTCAAATGAATTTGACATATCTCTAAAATTTTATATTTCAAATATGCCTCAAGAAAAATCAAAACTTCCCAGCGCAAATGGGGGTTCTGAATGAATAGAGGATCCATTTATAGAAACGTTAAATAAAATGTTGTTCATGAATTGTGATCTTTTTCTTATTTACATTTTCAAATGCAACAACGTCCGTATGTAACGAATGTTTCATAAGAAGTAATATTTACTGTTTTTAGGATTAATTCCAACAAAATGGACCAATTCATGAGATGTAATTTCTGCTCTACTTGTGCCATGGTATTGAAAATGTCAAAAGAAATCATAATTTGAACTGCATCATCTATATCATCGTGTTATATTTTCCTTGAACTGTACTATATGTACAAACGGATAAGAGATATATGTAAAATTGTCTGTATAGACGTCTTAACAGAACCTAAAATAATGTAAATAACAATTTTTCTGACGACTTTTAGCTTGAAATCATTTAACCATCAATGGAAACTTCCTTCGTGTTTCTGCTTGGGTCAATGCCATAGTTCAACTAAAATAAAATGCTGAAACGTACGTTACTTAACATAAAATGCGAGTTTAACAGTATCAAAATTATAAGAGAGAAACAAAAAAACCCTGATGTCGATTCAGAATAGAAACTCAAGCCTTTGTTTATTCAATATCATATGATTCAATCTAAAAATGTCTTTCAAAATAATTTCAATTAATGTTTTTCTTCAGAATTAACGTGTGTGTTCAATAATGCGTCTCTAGAATCAGTTTATATTAAAATTTATGCAACTTAAGCTTAAAATGATACAAATCAATCAATAAAGTTTACATTCGAACAATTAGTCATGAAAGAAATTCTGTAAATATTGTTGCTATTTTGATATATGATTTGTTAAAAATTTTGTAACATTCGTTACCTTCGGTAACGAACGTTTCAACACCTTTCAAGACTAACAGAGGACATTCAGGTGTAGATTGATACTGGTTGCGTAGTTGTTGTCGGTCGTTATATAAATATTAACAGTTACATACTAATTCATTACATTTGATTCATTGTTATTGCATTCTAGAAAACAAACTCACCAACACTGTCTAGACTTTAGAAAAAAATCATTAAAAAGGCAGTACCGTACTCCGGATGTCAAAATTTGAATACTGGCGCAAAATATTTGACTACGTATATGTGCAGAAGATGTTTGAACTCATAAATCATTCTTTTTTAAGAGGTTTGGTAACGAATGTTTCGGTAACGGTTGTTTCATTTAATCATTTTCTCTTAAATAGTAAGCTAACAATAAGACATTGTTAAATCATGTTTGGAGCATGGAATACAGTTGTTGGATAGAAGAAAAAGTATCACGTGTTTAACTATGATATCATTATATTTCATCTATTAAACTAATACAACGAATGTTTCATGCCTATCCATACGCATGTAAAATAGGAAGATAGAATGTAATTTCAAAGTATTGGTAACATATACAAGGCTTTGTAACATTTTTTTTTAATTTTCAAGAAGTTTCCTTCAAAATAAAACGTATTCCAATCTTACAGGCATACAATACCTAATACTCATACTATATTTAATGTCACGGTCCGTTTTTATTTTGTTTCTGGCGACATGGGGAAATCAGATCAAAGTTTGGTAATATATTTGTGATTATGCTCAATAATTTATTAAAAGCATTTTACAAATAAATGTTTTGAAGATATATGCTATCTAATTTAAGATTCAACTGTTATTTGTACAAAAAATAGCCATTTAAGTGTAATTATTCGATGTTGGCGACAGTAACGTACGTTTCAAAAAATCACTATATGCCAAATAAAATATCTCAATATGATTTGTTCACTTCATTTTTGTATTTTTGCCTTAAAGGTTACATATTCATGCATTCATTCAAAAAGTATTTTCTTTGACATTTCATTATTTTTTTACGCTTAACCCCCAGCGACATCATTTGCACCATTTTATTGAGCTTGAGTGTTTAGCGGGCTACGGGCATTGTTACAAATATTAGAAATCATAGTATGGTTGTTCACCTCAAGGAATCTTTGTTTTACTAACATACAAGTATATCATTGAAATCTGCATCAAATATATAGCCAAGTCCCAGTTTATTAAGTTCATTTTGAATATCTCTGATCCAAATATCATTATTCTTTAATCTTTCTTCCAAGCATGATTTTAGTAGAATATTTTGTGTCCCCTTTAGTTTCAAAAAATATTTTATAATTTTCAATTTTCTGGATTCCCTCATAGGCATTCTTCCAAGTTCAAAATACACAAGATTGTTACAGGCACTTTTTTAAAACGAAGTAACTTTTTACAAAAGAGACTTTGTATTTTTTCTACATCTGGAGCTTTATGAAATCCCCACACCTCTGCTCCATAATTAAGAATACTACAGACATACATTTCAAAAAGTGATATTTGGGTTTCGACATTAAATTCAAAGTTGCAGAATTTTTTGTTCAACGCATAAAATCTTTTCTTCCCTGTTCAGCTATGTGCTTTTGAGTTATATTAAATTTACCATTATAATTGAAACACATTCCTAAGTAACTGAATCTATCTACTATTCCAAGTTCTTTTCCATTGTAATCCCATTTTTCTTCATTTCGTAAACTTCTACCATTTCTAAAAACTAAAATTTTGGTTTTATCTGCATTAACTTCAAGACCCCATTTCTTATTATAAGTACTTAATTTATTCAATAATGTTTGAAGTGACATTGGTGAGTCTGCAGTAAGTACCATATCATCTGCATACATCAACAGAAAAATGGAAATTAACTGCAGTTCAACATAAGGACAATTGTTTTCTAAAAAATGGTTTCTACAATGGCCAGACAAATGTGTAAATATACCTGAATTGAAATCAACAATTTTGTTAAAATATTGATAATGTATTAATACGTAATCAATGAGACTGCATTGCATAGTAAATGCAAAAATATTTAAATGTTTTACCAAAAATATCAGTTTAATTACACAAACAATGTTAATTAATAATTCTACATTGCTTTCCTTTCTCCAAATTTTATTAAAAAAAAAAAAAGCTTAATTGTCGAAGACAAATCCATTATCAGGGACGTAGCATCGTTTTTCAAAGTGGGAGGGTACCAAAGAAAAAAAAACTCAGCTTGACTGAAAAAAAAAAAAAAATGGAAAGCTCATAATTCTACAACTCGAAAATCTTATTTTTTTTATTTATTTTTTTTTTTTTGGGGGGGGGGGGTCCAACTTCTTACAATGCCCGATTTTATTCATACACTGCTACAAAACCCTAATATCATGTATACAGTCTAGGTATACAGTATGACAAAATATGCGCTTGTTTCTCTCAAACCAAGTAAATAATTAAGAAAACTTACTTGTCCTTCTAAATCCTGTTCGACTGATTCACTTCCTGCTCTCTCGGGCACGGAGAGTAAAGAGTCTCCGAAGGCATCCTCTGATAATAAAGAGCTTCCAAGATTTTGTAGGCCAGTAAAAGAAGGTTCAAAATCAAGCAAAGATTCTCCCAGTACGTTTTCTGATTCACTTTCCTTGATTATTTCATTTTCCTGCTGAAATTCGTTTTAATTTAAATTTTATTTTCTCGTATAAGTTGCACTTTATATTTAATTAATGCGATTCATTCATTTAAATAGAGGAGGGGTTACTTACATTGGGTGGAAATGGCGCAATCACCAATGAAATCACTGAGAACATAAACAATATTCCTAAGACATACATTTCAGACCGATTCATCGAAGTGATGTGATTCAAGCAACGGCGAAGTAGGAACTGCCACCCCGCGGGGCAGCGTGCTTATTTCCACAGTAGCACTGAATCTGGCTATATTTGTTTATTCTGTATAATTGACCTAATAATCTTTTTATATATCATATCCTTTTAATAAAATAAACAACAATGTTATTCTGGGAATGTTTTCCCAGTGAAAATGATTGAAAAACGTAACAAAATTAGACGGTAAAATAATTTTTGTCATCCAGATTTAATTTCCTTATTATTGTTTACTGAAATAATTGAGTTTCTATCATTATTTTCCTGTTCTTTATAAAGTGTTTTTCTTAATTAATTTTATTTTTTAAGATAATCATTCAATCTGGTGAAATAAAATTAATTTTACTTTTATTACAAAAAGTGTATCATAAAATCTTCTGCATGAGATTAGTGTTTCGTCGATAATAAACATAAAACGCGTGAAAAATATTTTTTGAAATTTTACCTAGTTTTTTTATGGTATATTAAATATAAGAAAACATAATTAAGTCGTTTAAATAAAGTAAATAATTCAAAGTCATTAGGATTCTCTAAGGTTTTCTTTAAGATTCTCTCGATTTATATAATCTGATAATTTCCTAAGTAATATACTACCACGTTTTATTAATACACCTTTTCTTAAAGAAAATAAAACGTTTTTACGTCTGTTTTAATTGTTTAAAACAAATCTAACCCAATTATATTAGAATTATTTTCATCTCATCATGCATATAGGAAACTTCTGTACTTTTTACAATAATATTATTTCTTTACATGATAATCATTTATTTTTAACAATAAATTAGTACTCTTTGATATTGTTATGCACTACACAGCTAGACTTAGCATCAGAAACTGTATTATCTTTGTTCTACCTTTTTTTTTTAAATTTCAACAATAAACATACATGTAATCGATTTGCTCTCATTGTCATGAAGCGTACTCTTTTTAAATTCAAGATGAGAGTAGCTTTTAATCACAGTATAAACCTTAAAGTATATATCAGAAAACTTAAAATATATTTGAAAAAAAATGATAGGAGAACGGGAAGGGTTACTAGAATAGAATTGTTAAGACTATAAGAACACACTTTTTGTGCAAGCCATTGACTCCTGGCCCATTTCCATTATAGTTAGCTGAATATACATTGAGATACATCCAATACATATCTCATAAAATAAAAATGAAAGTTGAACTGGTCTTTGCAAAGACAAAAGTTACATAGTCCCACAGATAAAGAGAAAGCTGTCAATGTTGCATAAAACCAAATGAACAAAATATTTCATTTTGGCTCACTTTCCTGGCTGCTTTCTGTAACTTGTGATAATATTACTTGCGTTGAAAATCTGAGAAAGCCGAAAAGAGTGAAATCATTTTTTATGATAAAGTCAAAAGAATTCAATACAGATTCGATATTTTCACGCCAATACCTAGCTAGATGACCCTCATACACCATGATAAGAAATAGACAGAATAGATGGAAAGTGTTATATTTCTCCATGCTTGAGGGATCTTTAGAGTATTTGTTCATATACTCAATGGAACAAATTAATACTGTCATAAATACTATTCGAATAAACATTCAGAATTATTAGCTATATAGACTGCAATTATTCTGACATTTTTTATCTTGTTGCTAGTCTCTCTGTTGGTACATGTATGTACATGTATATGTCAATAAGAGATATTTAAAAAAAAAAAAAAAAAGAACAGCCTATGGAGAAGGCTTTCCCTGTACAGCCCTTCCAAATACCCGATAAGGGCACATTATGATTGATAAAAAAAACTGTGTTGAGAGAGAGGGAGAGAGAGATAAATCTTTAATCATTTTGCATGCTTAGTATTAAAAGATTATTTTAATTGGTTTTCTTGTTTTGTTTTTTAATTCTGTACTTATAATTTAGTTATAGAGTAAGGATCGAGAAATAAGATAAGATGATGTTTGTTTTCTGCGGGAAAGAAATGAATAAATTTTATAGTTTCTTAAAAAAAACATAAAATGATGTTAGAAAGGATAAATTTTAAACAGCGTTTGGTATGATTATTTATGATCGTATGTCTCCGTAAATATGTAGTATTTTCTTTGATAATCAACACCACATTCTTCAGTAATAAGTGGGATCGGTTTGAGAAAAAAGTCTTTGAGGAAGTATGTCCACCATTCTCCCTGCTGTTTACACCGTGTCGTAGATCAGATTACATACGCTAATCGACTTCGCAAGCAAATGATAATCGGTTTTCTAAAAGCAGCCGATCTGAGATAAATTGAAAGTGATGGTTAAGAAATACTGACTAATATAACCCCCGTTGTGTTACCGGACTGAACAAAAACTGGGAAATATAACATAAAAACAAAACCGATCATTAAGATAATCGTGGGAAATTAATCCCAATATATAATATGTCAGAATTTTTATTCATGTGAAAAATAGTTTAATAAAGCTGTTCAGTTTTGAAACCTGATAAATTATTTTTGACCATACATGTAGAATTCTGACGAAAATTTCAAATATAGATCAAATAATTTGGGGTCTTTTTTGTAGAGTCAGAGGTTTCGAACACTTAACTTTCCGTTGGAATTCAACCTCATATTTCTTCCGTTAGCAATTTTGACTTTACATCGTGATCGCGTAAACCTGGTCTTTTACTCAAGATTCTTTAGCTTGTTAAAGGTCAATGTCATTTTCAATATCACTGGTGTGCTATGCATCTGGCTTCTGTTTTGTCTCATCCCCCAGGTAGCACAACAACGTTATTAAAACGTTATAAAAACGTTATGAAAATGTTATGAAAACATTTTCTAAAACGTTATTACAACGTTATTTTGTGTGGTTTTTTAAACGTTATTATAACATTTTGCAAAAACATTGTACTGTAATGTTTTAAAAACATTTTTAAAAACGTTTGGAAAACATTTTTAAAAACGTTTTGAGAACATTTCTTAAAGCGTTAAAATCAATTTTACAACATAATAAACAATATATTTCTTATAATTTAATAAATTTGAATCCATTCATTAATGTTGTCTAAACACTGTTTTTTTAACACCTGCACAATAAAATTACAGTCTTCCCTCAAATAAAATTTTTACTGTTTGAAAAACGAAAAGATCACAGCATCCTTATTCCATTAGAAAGTAATCTGTTTTACACTTGGACTTCTCTATTTTCTTCTGAAAAACAAAGATTTGGACATAAAACTTTGACTAAATGATTACCCATTCATACTCGTACATTTCTTTTTAGTTAAACATATCCATGTATTAGGGCATCTGACAACTAACTACACATACTAGTATATAAAAATCTGATAAACACAAAGAAAGTATGTTTTGGTATACAGTTGTATTAATAAACAAAAAATTACAGGTGTAAGTATATCTACATATTTCTGACAACCAACTTCAAACATACCTTTTCATATTTAATGAATTCCTCCAGGAAGGTATGGATCAAAACTCTTCGTCCCACCTCTCATTAAATCGTAAGAGATTGTCTTTGATGCTTTGTAAGCCTTGTAAGCAGCAGCTATTAAAATGTAATGTGAAATTCATTATAAGAAACATATGAACATATTTAACAAAGGCGTCGGAAGCAAATTAAAAGGGGGGGCTAAACCAACAAAAAATTTCACTAACTCTATTATGTCTATCTTTGCAAAAAAAGTGGGGGGCTGGCTAGCCCCCCCCCCCCCCACCCCCCGGTTCCGACGCCTATGTTTAATAGGTAAATGAAAACAACACAGCATTACTAGTATTTAGATCATTTTCCATTTGCTGTATACATTTTCCAATGATTTATAAGTTGATATGTTAACTGAATCGTAATGCATTTTCTTAGCATTAATGGTGATAAAACTTACTCTTAATAATTCTTTAAAAGCTTGCACTTTTCAACCCTCTGTCCATTCTCGTTGAATTGACCCATGCAATTTAATTGTATCAATGTCCTCATATCTTCACCCTGCATTGAAACCATTGCATTCATCTAAAATGAGTGTTATATTTTATAATGAAGTAAGTGGATTTCAAAATCTTTGACTGCTAGCAAATATATAATCAAGCCTGAGATTAATCAATTCCTCTCCTTTTCCTTCCAAACGAAAATAGGTTTAACGTGGCATTGTATTCTGTAATACATAACACAAATTCGGAAAAATCGAACAAATAATTTTACATCTCTTAAGGATACACCAAAGGTTTCCAAATGCCAGAATTTCATTTGCATGTAATTCTTTCATTATCAAAGATAACATAATAAAAGTATATATCATTTGAAAGCTTGTTAAATTTACAATTTAATTATCCTAATTTAAACTTTAATTAATTACTTATTTAAAAATTATTTAAATATTAATGTAAATTTTAGTGCATAAATATTTTATAAATCAACTTTTTTGTATTGAACCCCTCAAAGTGGTCATTTTGCCTCAAGGTAGATTAAAGATCGAACTTGAAAACTGTATCTCAGATTTTTGATAAATCTTCTAATTCAAAAGTTACAGCCATTTGCCCTTCAATATTGCCAATTTATTAGCCTAATTTAACATTTCCCTCGGTAATTCCAAAACTAAGCTAGATATCAAAAATCTGAGATACGGTTTTGTGAACACACATTTGAGAAGCAACCCATCCAATTTTCAGAGAAATTGGTCAATAAATGAGAGAGCTGAATCCTTTGAAATAATACCACAAACTGTCTGATCTTACTTTACAGTAGAGGGCAAAAACCCATTACACAACAAAATCTGCCAAAGCTAGGAATATATGACACCTTGGAGATTCAGCTTTGGATACCTGTCACTTAGCCATATTTCCCATGCATATTCACAAGAATGGGAGGTTCTTTTCTGTATTTAGATGCTTTTAATTAAGTAAAATAGGTTTAATTCTGAATCAGAAAGATTTCCCGGCAAAATGGCAAGAGCTAAGCTCCACCTCCTATTTTATGGTCATCAGTGATCTGTTAGAT